GAGGGAAGGGATGATAGGGGAAAAACAAAGGAGGGGGTAACAATTCTCAATAGGAAATGCACTCATTACCTTACTTATGTAACTGTAACCCCTTTGTACAGTATCTTTATAATAAAAATATATTTAAAAAGTTATGGGTCAGATTGCTTATAAAACAATATTCTCAATCCTAAATATATAGCCCTCACATTAATTTTTTCACAATGCATCATGGAAGAGAAATTTATTTTCTCAAAATATGTAAAAGTGTTTTCCCATTCATATGAGTTCCCTTTTCTATTTAGGAAAATATAAAGCACTCCAAGTTTTTAGGGACAGTTACATATAAGCTCAGTCAAAATGGGATCAGAGGTACATATAACTCTACAAGATCAGAACAGCCCTAGGGCAAAGGGGAAAGGCTCCATTTTGTGCCTAATGGAGGCATTCAGAATAGTATCAATTATTTAATTATTTGATTGTTTTTATTTGAGGATTGAACTCAAAGCCTCATGCTTGCAACAAAAGTGCTCTACCACTTGAGCCACACCTCCATGCCTTCAGTTTGTCTTTCAGATAGGGTCTGTGCTTTTCCTTGGCTTTCCAATTTGAAGGCAGTGCTGCCATGTAAAGAGAGTTTTTTTTTTAATCTGTTCCTATTGTTATGTATTCATACAGAGTAACTCTTAGAGCTATTTGGCTCACACTTAGAACTTGATTAGCATATATTTGCATATTGCGCATCTTCAGTGTATGACTCATTCCTACTTCCCTTCCTGTCCTCTTACTTTTTTTTTGTCTTTAAATTGTAATGGACTTTATGATGCTAATTTCACACATACATATAATATACTTCAATCCTATTCACCCTCCATTACCATCTCCTTGCCCTCATTTTCCTTCCACTATTTGCCCTCCCAATCTCTCTATTATACTACACACACACACACACACACACACACACACACACACACACACACACATCCTATTACCCCTCCCCCCCCCACTTGTGTAGGTCTAGATTCCACACTGAGCAAAAAATGTAATATTTGTCTTTCTGAATCTGGCTTGTTTTGCTTAACACAATAATCTCCAATTCCAATTATTTCCCTGAAAACAACTGATCTTCCTCTTCCTTTTCTTCTCCTTCATCTTCTTTCTTCTTCTTCTTTTTTCTCTTCCTCCTCCCCCTCCCCTCCTCTTCCTCCTCCTCCTCCTTGTCGGTAGTGGGGCTTGAACTCTGGGCCTGGGTGCTGTTCTTCAGCTCTTCAGCTCAAGGCTAGCGCTCTACCACTTGAGCCACTGCACCCACTTCCGGCCTCATGCATGTGAGGCAAGCACTCTACTACTGAGTGGCCTTCCCAGCCCCTGTTCTTTAAGGCTCTTTATGTGTACATGTACCGTATTTTCTTTAGCTATGTGTTGGTGGGACTGATTCCATTGTGTGGCTATTGTAAACTATACTTCGATCAACACGGCTTTGCAGGTGTCTCTGTTGAAGGATAGATGGAGTTTATACTGTCTTACCTTATTCTCAAACTGTGGTGCCAGATTTTAGTATGGTTCCCAAAGACTCATTTACTTATGGAATGAGTAAAACAGATAATGATTCCGATGCCGTGGCTTACAGCTGTAATCCTAAGTATTCAGATCTGAGGACCTACTGAGATCTGAGTATCACAGTTCAAAGTCAGCCTGAGCAGCCAAGTGTGTGAGAATCGTTCTCCAATTAACCAGCAAAACACCAGAAGTAGATGTGTGGCTCAAGGAGTTGAAACTAGCCTTGAGTGAAAAAGCTGAAGGGCAGATCCCAGGGCATGAGTTCAAATCCTATAACTGGAAACAACCCACCACTCCCCAAACCCAGAAACAAATGAATAAACAAACAAAAAAAAAAAAAGAAAAGAAAAAGAAAACTGGTTGTAATTCAAGCAAACGAGAGAGCACAGGTAAAGGTTTCGGTTTCATATTTCATGTTTTATTTTGATGAGAATTTTCTGTGGGGAAGTGACTTCTGACACAGACATTAGGGACAGTTTCCCCCCACAGAGGAGTCAGACTCATCACATTCTGTGACTAAAAAACATTTTGCAGGTATAAAAACATTTGGAGAAAACAAAAATCTTTGAGAACCATGAAAGTCCTGCTGCCCTGGTCCCAAGAGCTCTCACATTCTCTGTACTTAACAAGTGTCTTTTTCTCCTGACACAGAGACCCTGTTGTAGAGGGTTCCTTCACTTTCCTGTTACTCAGACATCCTCAGTGCCAGCCTTGAAACTAGTTCTAGCCACTGTCCATTTATTTGCTACACAGAGGATAGATATGCTTTCCATTGGAAATTAGAGCTTGGACAAACACAAGATTACTCCGCTTTCTTCCTCAAACAATGAAAGTTCTTCTGTGCTTCGAGGCTATTTAGAAGCATGCTTTCAAGGAAGTTTGCTCATTCATCACAAGAGCTGGAAATCTGAGCCCTTCCTATTCTGTGAGTTGAAGTCTTTTCTACCAATGGTAAAGAAAAGAAGTAGCAGAAGGCTCCATTTGTTTTCTTTATTTGAAGGATACCCTTTATTACTATTTGGACTCAAACTGCTTGTCCTTAATGAGATTATCTTTGTTAAAAACTAGTGAGACTGAGCTGGGCACTGATGGTTTCAAGTGAGATCTGAGGATTGTAGTTCAAAGCCAGCCTGGGCAGGATAATCTGTGAGGCTCTCATCTTCAATTAACTACTTGAAAACTGGTAGTGGTGCAGTGGTTCAAAGTGGTAGAGTGCTAGCCTTGACCACAAGAGCTCAGAGACAGCACTCAGCCCCTGAGTTCAAGCCACATGAGATAAGAAAACAATAACAACAAAAACAAAAAACAAAAAAACAAGGGAGACTGAAAAAAGTTAGGAAAACATATTCCATTTTAGTCTTTTTTTTTTTTTTTTGCTGAAAAAAGACCTCAGAGATACTTGCTTTAATTTGCTGAAGTACAATAACACATTAATTCTTGAATCAGTCTCTAGAGCTGGCTAATGTTTATTGTAAAGGTGCTAATTTATTACCAAGTCATTCACCTCCCTTGGTAAAACTGAACTACTGCATATTCTTGTTCTGTAGTGATGGCACTGGGTAAGCTTACATTTGCAATACTCTGCAGCTGAATCATCAGTCACAGCCCCTAACATGGTTTACTCTTGTTTGCCTTTGCCCTCCTGGCATCCCCTTTAGTGCTTGGCACAGATAAAGCACACAAGTACCCATGAATTTTTAATTGCTTCCTAGGCATGAATGTGTTTGCTTATCTCCTCACTTGTCTTCTAAGCCAATTTTCCTGGTTCCCTTGATTGCTCAGCAGTTATTCCTTTCCAGTCTGTTCTTGGGTGATTGTTTTTCTATGACTGCAAATAACAATTTAATACATTGCTTCTGCCCTCTCTTTTCCTAGAGCTCAGAATTTATTTAGCCACCTACCTATCAGCATCCTGCTTGGTGTCTGATCATGTAGCCTAACAGTTCCCAATGCTACTCACCAAACCCTCTTCTTTTTCTCAGGAAATGACATTTCAGTCATGGCCCCCAGGCAGTTGATTAAATCTTAGCCTCTCTGGCTCCCAAACACAAATTGCACCCATTTCAAGGCTTTTAGATGCTACCCTTAAAAATCTGGCTGGCAACTGGTCTCCTTACTCTACTTCGACAGTCTTCTCCACCCTGCAGCCTGGGTGCTTTTTTACAAAGTAGGGCAGGGCCCTCATTGCACCCAGCTCCACCCTGTAATGAATTCTTACCATAGAAAAACAGCAAAGGCTCTTACAAGGGCTGACAGAGCCCCAGGTGCCTGTGTACCTGCGATTGCTGGTCCCATCTCTAGCACATCACCCCTACATATGTCTTGCTTCTCCTTGAACAGGTGCTTCAAAGCCTTCACAGCCAGTATCCTTTCCCTGGTGCTCTCTGAAGCCACTGTTAGTTTCTTTATACTTCACAAGAGTATTTTACTAGTTCTATTGGGTGGCTTCACTGTGATAATTCTACATATGTGTACATTGCACTTTGAACAAGTTCATTACTCTATTACATTCCTGTGGTCTTCCTACCCTTCCTTTTTCAAGAAGTGTTTGGTGGGTTAATTAAGCTGTCTTTATACGTATACACAACATACTTTGATCCTTCCCTCCCATTACTTTCTGCTTTCTCCTTCTCATTGGTCTTCTCACCTTTTTGTATCCATGTTTCATCATCATCATCATCATCATCATCATCATCATCATCATCATCATCATCATCATCATCATCATCATCATCATTATCAGCAGCAGCAGCAGCTACGTGCATATGATCATATAAAATGATCATTGACATGAACTCCAAGAAATGGAAACAAGGGTTTTTTTGGTTTTGTTTTTGTTTACTCCGTTGTCACTGTTTTTGGTTTCTGTGCCTTTTGTCTTGCATACAAGTTTATTTGTTTTGGGGAGGGTAAAGGGGGGCACAGAAATGGAGGGACAGAGAGTGAACAAATGAGCAGAAATACTACACACTATGTGCACTATGTTGGAAATGAACTATACAACTTGTTGAGAAGGGGTGTTGGGAGAGAAAAGTGGGAGAAAATGAGGGCAGAGATGACATTGTTACAGAAGAAATGTACTCATTATCTGATGTTTAGGTAACTGTAATTCCTCTGCACATCACCCTTACAATAGCAATAAAAATACATACTAAAAAATCAAAACAGAAAATATTTGACTTTTTGAGCTTGGAACTACATCAGTCAACATAATGATTTCTAGTTCCATTGTGCTTCCTTGAAAATAGCATATTTCATTCTTCTTTATAGTTGAATAATATAATACCCTATTAAGTATGTATGTATGTACATTTATTATATATAAATATTATATATAACTACTTATTTTTAAATATTATGTGTCTGTCTTGCCTACTAAATGTAACTTGTAGCCTCTAGTAAGGTTTGGCACATGAGAGATGTCAGTAAACATTAAATAAATGCTTTTTTTTTTTTTTTTTAAGTGTTTGACTCCGCAAATTTCAGAGAATACACAGGTAATCCCATTACCTTAATATTCTCTGAGTGAAGAAAATCAAACTTTAATTTATGATGACCTAAAAAAATAAATGCTTTTTTAATACTCATTTGAAGTAATATATAGATTCACAATATAAGTTTCAGTTTTCAGGATTTTTTTTTTGTCGGTCGTGGGGCCTGAACTATGGGCCTGGGCGCTGTCCCTCAGCTCCTCAGCTCAAGGCTAGTGCCACTTCCAGCTTTTTCTGCTTATGTGATGCTGAGGAATTGAACCCAGGGCCTCATGCATGCAAGGCAAGCACTCTACCACTGAGCCACCTTCCCAGCCCCTCTGAATTCTTTTGGCTATTTTGCAGACTAGGTGTAGAATTAAAGTAATAGCTTTGATACTATATTGAATGCACAACATTGCTTAAGCATAGCTTACACTTATAATACTAGCTACTTGGAAGGCTGAGATCATGAAGATTATGATTCAAGGCCATTAAAACAATTGAGAGCCTCCATTTCAATCACTATAAAGCTTGGCTCAGGAGCACCTGTCTTCGCAGCTACATGCAAATCATAAATAGGATCACAGTCTATACTGGCCTGGGCAAAGGATGAGACTCTATTTTTAAAAAAAAAAAGAAAGAAAAAAGGACTGGAAACTTGACTCAAGTGTTAGAGCACCTGTCTGGCAAGCACAATGATCTGAGTTCAGACCTCAGTACTGCCATGAAATCAAAACAAAACAAAACACATCTTAAATTATATTTTAGTTTTTCCAATGTTAGGGCAACAACATATGAACCTTTGTTTACTATTTTCAATGGTGCTTTACTCCTCAGAGATCCTCTGAAATGTTTATGTAATGTTTAAAATTGCAAATATTATTTTCATGAAAATCCTCTCACTGTATCTGCTAGAGTGGGAAAGAGAACACAGGAGAGGGTGAGAAAAGATTGACTAATATTCTCTTGCAGTATGTATAAAATAGGCAGCAAAGGAAAAAGAGTAGTTTAGCCAGAATTAAGGAAATTTAGGAGAAAACAAAAACTAGAGCATAATTAGCATAGAGGACAAAGGAAACAGTGAGCACAGTGAATTGTTTCTTATTTTTACCACCAGGTGGCGCTGAGGGACTACAAAAGCAATGAGGGTAGCCCGGCCAATGGAGGATGAGTCATTACCAATTACTGGCTGGTACAGTAGGATTTCACCCCCTTCCCTCTCATTATTTCTAAATAGTCCCAGGATTGTCTCATTTGTGCTCATTAGTAACTTGAGTCTGCTCACACTTGGTGATATGTAATGTCTTTCCTTTTCTCTCTCCCTCCTCCTACCCCAGGTGCATCTCCTGGCCACTATTCCCTCAGGGGACATTCCTGCTTCCCTCCCTCCCCCCGCCCGGCCCCTTTCTGGCTCTGGGTACCACTTACTCCTCTGGGTACTATACTGAGCCCACAGGGCCCAGTTTCTGGTGCTACCAGGCAGAGAGGCCTGAGGAACTATTCATTAATAGAAAACATTTGAGAGTCAGCCCCTGGCGTCTACCTCTACAAGGAGGACAAATGGCCTCAGGTGAAAGCAAGTTAGGATTTAGATTTCTGGTGTTATGGTGTCCATCTGCACCTGAATTTCTTTAAATGTGGAACCATTTCCTAAGTATTCTGCAATTGGAGTAGAAACTTATTTGTGAAGGATAGATTATAATAGGGGTCTTTCTTCATGGAGTATTGATGGTCAGTGGATTTCAGAGATCCATTTAGGAAAGGCTTTCTTATCAAAGGTTTACTTGCAAAGCATGTCTGGGTTATTCTTACCACCACAGCCTACTCTTCCGATTGCATTATTCTTGTTGAGATTCACAAGCTCCCTTCCTTCTCTCCTTCCTTCCCTCCCTCCCTCTTCCCTCTCTCTTCCCCCCTCCTTGTACTAGGGATTGAATCCAGAGCCTCACACCACTTACACTACGCTCCTAGCTCCTTAAGTTTCTTTTTAGTTGCAGACACTAGATATCTCTACTGTTTAGCATCTTTAAGACAGCAAAGCAAGTCTAAGATGATAGTAGCAGAGCATCGCCCTCCACAGAAGCTTCCACTCTGTTAAAGCCAGTCAGCTTTAGAAAAATTGCAAGGCTTTAATAAACACAGTTAGAAATCAGCTAAGCCAAAACAGCTTGCTGATTTAACTGACGTGGCTAGAAAAGTAAAGAATGGAATCGTATTTCAGAGGCCACAGCTTTGAATGTAAAGCTGAAAGTAGGGAATCATGCTTAAAAGTTAGAGGCATGAACGAGAGTAGGGGAGCTAGGGAACTAGGAAGGAATTTTTTTTTCTTCCCCCAGGCTGACTTTGAACCTACATCTTCAAGTCTCAGCTTCTTGAGTAGCTAGGATTGTAAGCCTGAGGCATCAGCCCTTGGCTATCTTGTTCTTGCAAAGTGCTGATCATTTGTTTTGTTTTCTGGAAGTTGGATAATGTGGGGGAAAACTTAGGGACCTTGATAACGTGAGTATAACTGTGCTTATGATCCCAAATGCATGTAATTTATCATTCAACTTATAATATGAAAAGCAGACCACTAGGTTATTTCTCTGTGTCAAAGCCATAACCCTCCAACTGTTACTTCTTCCTGCAAGCTCAGCAGAGGACAAGAAGCAATTGATTGTGCCATTTTCTCACTTCCAGGTGACATCACCCAGGGCAGGATGGTGACAAATGTTTGAGGAATGTCCCACACTACTCTGAAGGTGCTAATCTCCCTTCTCATGGAGCAGAGACATTCAGTCTGTGGTGTCACGTAGATGCCAACCTGAAGGTTGGAGCAAGGAGGAGAGATTCAATATGTTCCAGAAGACACTGAGCTTTTAGGTGCCAAAAGTCACATGCTCGCCTTTCTTATATAGAAGAGCTGGCTTCGGCTTGAGCCTTCACGGGCTACAGTAGAAACTGGATTCATTTGGCCATCGGATACTGTGACCTCTTGCATGTATTCATAGAACTCATGGAAATGGATGTGCTGGCTGTGTCAGCAGCAACTGCTTCCGGTGGATGGCAGGTCTACGGAGGGCAGAGACAGTCACATGCTTGGAGCCCCCACGTCCAGCCCAGGACCAGGCACATAGTAGATGCTCCTTTAATATTTTTGAACAAAGGCTTTAGTGTACAAAAAGTTTATAGGAACTCTAAGTTAATAAAAAGTAAAAACTAGCTGTCCCATTGTATTTGCTTATTTATTTGCTCCTCCTTTATTCAGCCCCTGCTATACGTCAGGATGGGCATGGCTATCAAAGATGAATAAGACACTCAGATACACAGCATGGACTCTATTCGTGCATTTATTTTATAACTTAGAACATATTTTAAAATTTGGATTTGTTTTCCTGCATAAAATTAGGGTAGATAATAAGCTGTGTAGTTATAACCACTTTCTATATACATCACCTTGACAATAACATTAAAAAAAGAATGTAAGTAGTAAATATCTATAAAGTCTATCTAGTGCCTTATATAAAACCTATCTTATATATTAATATGTATAATATTATATAGTATATAGAAGGTCTGATGCCTATTCAAAAATGTAGCTAATGGTCATTTCTCTTGACTCTATCAGCAAAGGCACAAATCATAGATGTTTTGTTGGGCATGCTGGAGACTTCAATCCTGCTTTTCCTATGCTAGGAAGGCACCCCACATGGACTACAGAATAGGGAGCAAAGCAATGATGCTAAGAATACTCTGTCAGAACTTCTTTCCTGTCTGCTGGAGTCCCGCTGAGATGCTCCAAGGCCCCAGGGCTCTGAGGCAGCAGGTGTGAAGCAGCGGTGTCTCCATAGACATCCAAGGCTCCTTTCTGGTACAGTGTGAACAAGAAAACCAGAAAGGAATGCTGGAACAGCCCTTGACCTGAATATAAGCCTATCTCCTGGACTTGTAGTTATGTTGGCTAGAGCCTTTCTCGGGTTTCTCCAAGGGAGACAAGGCGTTCCCATTATTCATGAACCATGACATGCAGAGGAACAGTCTGAGATAGTCAGCTGGCATTTTATAAAAGTCAGAGCTTACTGACCTGTGCAGAATCACAACCATTCTACTCTAAAAGGAGAAAGATCCAGGGTCATAAGACTAGAAGAGACATCACGCGAACAGGTGGTTCTGCCCTTGCTTTCAAGGCAAAAGCTCCAAAACAAACAAACAGCAAAACACCCAACAAAACCAAGAGAAAATAGAATGAACCTAGTAAGCCAGACCCTCTTTCAGAAGCTAAATATTTTCCCAATGAATGGCATCAGTGAACACCTGTATTACATCTGAGCTGGTATTATGTAGTGGCATGGGACCTTTAGGACAGTTAAAAGCAATTTCACACCTGTATTAGATGGTTGTTCTTGTTTGCACGTCTTTGCAGTGAGCATATTGAAGATTTTTTTGGAAAGAAATCACAGCCTCGGGTCTGTTGTTTTGGAATGTACCCTTTGAGGCTGGTAACCTTGAGTGCCAATAGAAATAAACATCAGCCCACCATGGGGAATGTGTATTGCAGTGTTCCTTTTCAGACATGGAAGGAAGTGTTGGTTTCAGTTCAGAACTATCATATGATCCTTCCATTTGCTTGTTTCCTGCATATTAAACCACTCCAACATGTTTGCTACATCTTACCAACATACCCCAGGTCACTAGTGTTTTAGTGTTTTCCTTGCTTAGGAAGAGCCAATTATGAAGGAGGAGACTCAGCGACAGAGGAATCTTGTACAATAGGGAAAAGCGTGTGTTATATAAAATAAGGCAAGTAGCCTGGGGCCGGTGGCTCATACCTGTAATCCTAGCCACTCTGGAGGCTGAGATCTGAGGATTGTGGTTCAAAGCCAGCCCAGGCAGAAAAGTCCATGAGACTCTTATCTCCAATTAATCACAGAAAAAGCCAAAATTGGCACTGTGGCTCAAGTGCTAGAGTGCTAGCCTTGAACAAAAGGAGCTTAAGGAGAGAGCCAAGGCCCAGATTCCAAGCCCCAGGACTGGCAAAATAAATATGAACGAATGAATAAACAAACAAATAAGGCAAGACTGAAGAGTAAAAAGTTACATGGCTTAAAAAAAGGGAAGAAAGAAGTGTACAGTTTATA